TGCTACATCGGGAGCGGTCGGGCCATTTGGTTTAAAATGCGGTCAGACGTCATACTATTTGCTTAATTATGGAATAAAAGCAAAACTATGGCAACATAAAAATTCAAATAAATTTTAGTGCTACTGCTTTTATACTCTATGTTACTAAATTATTTTTGTATGTCATGCCCAGAACCCGGTAAACGCTTTCAAGCACGCCACTCAAGCAGCCAGTTTTTCGAAGAGCTGGAAGAGCCATTTATGCCCTAGTCGAAATCGCGGTACCAGGCAGCTTTTCAAACTTATCTATACCCTCTTCTTATTCTATCTCCATGATCTAAAGTTATTTTGACAGAACCTCCCGCTTCCCTGTATAAAATTTAATTTTGCGAATTGTTAAAGTACAGATAAAAAGCATGTTATGCGTTTGTTTCAAGTGAGTTTTTTCATAACAAAATTTTGTTATGATGTCAACAACATTTTAGCAAGGATATGTATACATATCAATTTGAATAGGTGCACTGTAATACTAACAACAATATTGTATAGTGAAGTTTTCGGAAAAATCGGGCGAGCCGTTCTTGATGTGATCAATACATTGTCTCATTCATTATTTTTATTTAATCACCCTGTATAACTAATTATAAAAACTATGAATGCATTGATAAGGCACAAGCATAGAGTCGTAATATTTTGCATATTTTAGATCGAATTTATTGGAGAAAATTTTGAAATGACGTTATCAATTTTTTAAAAAGAGGTAAACAGATTTACCATCCTTGCGACAATCTTAAAACGTTTGCAAAATGTCATAGCATTTGGTTTTGCAGCTTCAAAGTTAAATTGCAAAAGTTGTTATACAATGTTGATGGTTTTTCGAAAAATCTGGATGTCTCGAAAAGAACTCAACACGAATTCATAAACTACACCTATGTTATTTTACAAAAATCAATGCAAAATTTAAAACTTAAAATTTATTTTGAGGTAATATCATCACTTTGTTGGTGGGGATAATTAGACCAAGTTTGGTGAGCGTTTTACCATCTACACGATATTCGTAACATACATTTAAAATTAATAGACAGACAGACGGAAATGGGAGACCTCTTTTTTCGTACTCACACCGAGAAAATGTGAAAGTAGCCAATCGCCCGATGAACATCGACTGGATTATAATACTTCCTGAGCTTACGCTCGGAAAGTAAAAAGATAAAATAAGGTTCATGTAGCATAGTTTGTTTTTTACAAGTTGCATAACTTCGTATACAGTACCTGTTACTTTTAAAATGCAAAATTCTGTAAAGAGAAACCACAGAAACTAATGATTTAAAACAAAAACCTTTCACATTGTGAAAGTTGTGTACTATGTGAAAAGTATTTTTGTTGATTTTCAAAGTAATTTGACGCTTGTATACTTGAAATCTATAAAATTTAAAGCTTAAAGCAGTGGACTATGGGAAGTATCTGTCATAGCATCAAGAATTCATCTTCCAGTTTGCGTTGGATTTATAGCTACATATATTTCTGATTCCCCGTGTACTAGCAGACGATCAAAAATGTCAAAAATGATCGAAAAATATAGTTTATTTACAATCTGAAATTTTAAAGTTGTATGACGCTTTGGCAAAACTTCAAAGTACTGTGACTCAATTAAAAAATCTTCCAGGTGAATTTAGGAAAAAGTTAAAAAGGAAAATAGAATCTCTTGTTGCTAGAAATCCCGATTTAAATCTTCTGTATCAATTTTGCGATGGCATAACGAAGCCACACATCCATATTTTAAATTAGGCGGTCTTATATGTGATTGGTAGGAAATGAGAAATGGTGGGAGAACTTTGGAAGAATATGTGTGTCAAAATGTGTTAGTATATATATTTTTTGAAATACAGTTTTTGGGACATCTTAGAGGTAAGTACCTGCTTCTTTGTTACTGCTTTGTGTACCAATAGACTTCCACATTTTTACAGAATTATCCTATAGGTACATACGAACTTTCATAAAGTGAGGTTATATTATAAAAATCAAATTTCAAGATAATATAATTTTTGACTTTAACCCTTATCCTTGAAAGCATATGTATTAATTACTTTGGGAGCCATACTCGCGTTGTTTATAATTTTCGTAAAAAAAAATGTTAAATGGTTTATTAAAAAAAAAAAAATGTGCGGTGAGTAATCCAAACTTTTTGAAATAACTCAGGCAGCTTTCAACACAAAAAGGTACAGGGGCGGGGCTTAAGATGCGCGACTTGTAGTCGGGCTAGCAGTGGCGTAACATCGATGTATTGAGAAGGGAGTTTCGGCTGAGTTACATTTCTTTCAAAAACAATTAAAAATAGAGCAATTTTCACAAAAGAATACAGACAACCATTTAATAAAAATAAATTTATTTGTTTGGTAAAAAAATAGACTTACGTAACAATAAATTATGATAATCTATCACACAAAATTTGGTATTTTTAATTATTAAACGAGTTTATAATGTGAGGGATTATAGCATGAGTAAAAAATTTCACGAATCCCTCATTATAAACCAGTATCATATACTATTTTATAGTCGACTAGTCTTAAAGCAACAGTTAAATCTTTAGATAAAAGCGGGCTTAAAACTCTGAGAATAAGCAACCTATGACTATAATTATATGGTTTTTAATTTTCTGGCACAATTTATCGATACCGTAAAGTCGGATTATAATAAGGCTTAACGTTTTCTGTCTTTAACATTGAAGTAATAATCGCAGTTCGTATTCTAGCATAATTGACCCTTTTCCTGTAAGCAAAGTGAGTAGACATTATATAAATTCCAATGACACAGAGTGAGACAACATCGCGCAGGCGAAGTCAGATTTTTGGAGTGCCAAGTTTAAATTAACCAATGAGCGACAGATTACGCATGTGTAGCCGGTTGCATTCTGTCAAAGCGGTTTGTTGTCACAGGCCTTTGCTCTGCTGCCGGAGTGCCGGATACAATTTCCAACGTGGTTTTGAAGATGCGTGCGCACGAAAAGTCACTATGGAAGTTTTACGATCTTACAGGAAAAGGGTCAATTGTCGTTTATAACTAGAGCTTCGACTGTACCGTAATTTAACAGTAATTATTGCTCACTAAAAATTACCTTTTTACTTCTTTTACTTACTTTTTTATTCAACTCATACATCAAATACAGCACTAATAATTGTTTAAATTCTTTTTCTAATGTCAACGCTAATAAAATAGAAAAGTGATATTTTTATTAACCGCAATAATATTTTAATATTTCAAAATCGAAATATTCATCGCCGCTGCCACTGCTTGCACGATATTTGTAAGGCCAAACCAAAACAATGTTCTGCGCACTCCCACCACCTGTACCCTTTTGTGTTGAAAGCTGCTCTAGTTTTAGAATTTTCCTCAAAAGAGTAGAATGTTGCATTTTTGTAAATTCTAATTATTATTATTTTTAAATGAACATTTAAATTTATGTTTTTTATTGGACACCGCCTTGTTTTATGCGGCTATTTTAGTTTTAAACATATGCTGCAACTAACCAACAAACAGTGTCGCCCAAACAAAATATTGTTATAACATCATAACAGACTATTTCACATTTTAAACAAAAATTGGTAATACCTACTTGACGAAATTATTCTAGGAGGCACTTTTTTATGTAACTTGTAAAGTAATTTACAACAAAAAATAGATTTAAACCTATTCAGACACAACTTCCCTCGCCTCTGAACAGATTTGGAACAAAATACAGCTTTTTTAAAAAATTAAAAAAATTATTTTGCGAATTTTATTTATTTATTTTATGACAACCAACCCCTAGAAGATATGTGTGGACTGTTAAAGTAGAGGTAAAGAAGCATTCTATGCAGTGACGTAAGTAAAAGCCCCGCAGCTTCTGCGCCACGGAGTCCGCACAGACACTGATATCAAATCTGTATATTTAAAGCAAATAATTAGGTAGAAGAAATATGTTATTAGTACATGCTTAATTTCGATTGTTTAGGTTTATATATCAAAAGAATGCCTCCGCAAAACATTCTGAATGTTATTTTGTAGTTATTTTTACGATAATGCTTATTTTATTATTATTAAATATAGGCGGCCGTAACATTACTGCATTCTCGAATTTTTCAGAAAATGGGGTAAATCGTGCCCGATTTAGTCAATAAAAAAAATTGGTGGAAGATTATTTGAACAGAACTTCCCTCGCCTCGGAAGTACAGTACAAAAAATCACTTTTCTTTGAAAAATTATAAAATTTTATTTTGCTACATTTTAATTGTAACAACCTCCATACATGGAAACAGACATAGCAGCAACAGTCTAAGAAAAAAAGGAGGTCCATGAGGAGATCGTACGCGGAATCGTTTTCGCATTGCAAGTCCGAGGTCGGCCGAATCGTTGTGCTCACCGTTGCTTATAAAATGTTGTTATACAATGGGTTTTTTTGCGCAAATTTGGATGCTTTGGAGAGCACTCAAGGCGGATTTATAAACCACAAGTTTGGGAGCATATTATTTTATGAAATATAAATAACGTTTAATGTAGAAAATTTTGAGGGGACGTCATCAAAATGTTGGTGGGACTTATTAGTCAATTTTTTTTAATTAATTATATAATAAAATAAAATGTAATTAAAGTTATTTAGACAGAAGTTCACTCATCCCTATTCACATACGTAAAAAATCTATCATAGTATATAGGTATAAGAAAAAAAAATCAATCGAGGGTTGCGTCTTAAAAGAAATATCTCTAGAACTTAAGTCATTTTTTCTAATAAAAATAAATAAAAGCAATTTTTAAAAACTGAATAATTACAGCCCAAGTTTTTGATCTTCCATCGGCAGAAAATAGTGCAACTTTTGTGTAATTTAACCTACTTCTTCAAGTCTTTTACGGTTTTTAAGATTACAATTAATAATGAGAAAATATAAAGGCACTATCCTCTGTACCTATACGTATATATTTGAATGCCTTAGAAACATAAAATTCTGTCAGCTTGTTTGTTAGGTTATTAATTAATAAGCAATTACCATTTTTCCAATCGCCATCATATCTAGCTCCATTTTTAAAAACATACAATCCTTTTCCGTGGCGTTTTCCATGGTTATAAAAACCTTCGTAAATATCACCATTAGGAAGCACAGCTCTACCAAATCCGTGCCGATCTAGCTGATCATCCCTTGCTCCTTCGTATCTCTAAAAAGAAAAATGTTTGGCATTTTAAATAATTTATTATCTGCTAAAGTACTCCGTAAGGATACGGTTCTGGTCCCTCTCTAGCTCCTTCAGGTGCTGCGTCTTCAGCTGACATTTTTATTCAGTTTTACGTAATAACGCCAACGCTACGGTTGCTTGATTAGTATTAATGGCGTTATATATCCATTACATTATTTTCCTTAGATACTCACTTACCTGGCGAAAGGAAACTGGATCCGAAGCTGTCGTTGTACTTATTTGGAATTTATTGGAGCAGTTCTAGACGTGGTAAACGTATTTCGTTTTATTGATTTACTGATCGTTCAGAAATTAACTGGAGCGTGTAAAAATATTTAAAATTATTTAATACGTGAGTATTTCAAAGCAGTCCCAAACACTAGCCTACGTAGCCACTTAAAAAATTTGTACGTTAGTGTATTACTGTATTTACCTATTTCTATTTGTATTATAAGGATAAATAATGGAGATTTTGCAAGAACGACCTTAAAAAGCGAAAATATTTGTTCAAACTCGATGGAAGTTACTGGGGTGTATTTAAGTTTAGCAATTCAGTTTAAGTGCCGAATCAACATTTTCATTAAAATCTTCATTTACTGTTTTATTTATTTGTTTAAATTGTTTAATATTTTCGTGCAGTACAAAGTTTTACTTTCCGAACGTAGCCTGGGTCCATTTGAGGAAAGGCTAATTTAATATTTTATTGACATTTCTTGGTTCTAGAAGATGCAAAAATATGTTTCCGTTTCCTTCTACTCATTCTCTGTTGGCGGTTTTATTACACAGGTAATCCTAGAAAATTTAGTAGACAGATTGTGTGAAATTTTAGCTGAATGTTATAGATTACTTATAATGTAGAAGACAAACCGCAAACTAAAATTGGCTTGTACATCCTTGCCAAAAATATGATGTCATCTCAAAATTTTACAAAACAAATCCTGCCTAAAATTATGGTACAATGCACTTCTCTGCATACATATTTATGTAGGTAATTTATTAATCCAATCACATTTTATTTTTAGGTACCTACATATAAATTTTGAAAAAAAAAAAATAATACAACAAAGTTTTATAGTTTAGAAATTACTGTACCAATTGGAAGTCGAAATAAAAAAATCTTTTATTTTTTTAATAATAGTGTCTCATTTTTTAAAATGAACAATTGTTAACTTTTAACTTTCAGAGTGCAAACTAGCTACTTTCATATTTTCTCAACGTTTCGTATTCCCAACCCCGTTTTCATTTGTTTGTGTATCGTCTGTCTGTATCGATTTTAATGTTATATTTAACTTTATATGTATTTTAGGAATAACGCTAACCAACAATCTAATGACGTCCCCCCAATTTTGTTTTTTGTTTTTTTTTTTAGTAAAAGTCATTTAAATTTTGTAAATTGACATATTCCTACACTTGTGTTTTATGAATTCGCCTTGATTTTGTTCTGTAGGCATCATCACATTTTATACCAGCACTAGAGCACTGATATGTGTGGAGAACTCCGTAAAAATGTTGAAATACTAACGCGAATGTCGCTGGTTCATGTAAGTTTATGGGTCACAATTTTTTTATTAATTAAAGTAAAAACGATTTTCTCGAAAATTTGAAAATACAGTAATGTTAAATAAAATAAGAATTCTCATAACAACTATGTAGGTACTTACCCAAAATAATATTCAGAGGAGACAAAAATTATTCTATTTTTTTCGCATATCCTGCTAAACCAGCTTGGGTGCGTGTTAAAGACACGTGTGTATAACATCGAATCGAAATTAATCATATACCAATAATATAATTTTGTACCTGTGCGGACTTCGCCTTACCCGGAACAGGGGCTGCAGAAGTGTTATTTACGCCACTGCATAGCATATACTTCTTTACGTGTACATTAGCAACCCACACATATCTTTGTTTTAAGTTACAGGGGTAATCAAAGACAATAAAATTCGGAAAATTAAATTTAATTATTTTCCGAAGAAACTGTATTTTTGTTGGATGTACGTAATTCAGAGGCGAGGGAATTTCTGTCTAAATAACTTTAGATCATTTTAGCCGGTGCATAGCTATCTAATACAGGGAAGTTTTAGACTAAGAAACTTTCATTTAAAATTCTTTTTGAATAGTTATTAGAAAGACACGATGTATTATGTTTAACCTACTTTAAACTTTCCTCCATTTCCGTATGTGGTATGTTGTCAGTTTTATTAAAGAGTATTTTCCGAAACTTGTAGACTGATTGTCATTAAATTTTAGATTTATTTTAAGAATATCGTCTTGATGATGAAACTCTAATTAAAATTTGTCTGATCATCCTCATTCAAAATCTAATGCCGTTATCTGAATGTTTTCTTAATGAATCATATTAAAAATGTGCAACATAATATCCTTCTGTAGCTGCAGTGTAAATGTAATTTATTAATCCATCCCTATTTTTAAGTTTTTAGGGAAACATTAACATTGTTTTATAAAATCTTACATTTCAACGTAGAAACTACTAAATTAATTGCACTGAAATTTTGCACATCTGTTTAATCTTTCCAAAAACGTGTTGTCGTTATTTCATTTTTTTACATTTTAACATGCCACTTTATTTGTGGTTGGAAAAGTATTATTCTAATGATAGAGTTCACTTGCCGAATGGCTAATTTCATGTTTTCCGTTCCGTCTGTTTGCGACTTTATTTGACGCCATTTAAAAATGTTGGCAGGTAAATCCCGTTTGAAATTTATTGACATTGATGACCACTTCCTCTTCCTGTCTCACCTATTTATTTCCAAATGTTTGATCCATATGATTTTTTTACATTTAACATGTTGCTTTGAGTGTTTTTATTTTAATATGTAGGAGTTATTACAGATAAAATGAATAGGAAAAATCAAATTTTATAATTTATCCATCCTTTTTTCGTAAGACATCAACTAAAATGTAACATACATACAGTACAGAACATTTCATTTGTTCACGTTCTCCAAAAAAGTGGTGATATTTCAGAAAATTGTTAAATATTTGATAAAACTTGAATTAAAAAAGAATTCTTCAGATAAAAGTCCTAAATTAAATGTTGTTGAAATTAATAGATACAACAACTTTAATATTGTTTTAAATATTCAAGTAATTCACTATTGTTAAATTTAAAATTTTAATACCTCAACCTAAATTTCACCATCTCAGTTATAAAAGCAGATATTTCCGTTTAAGTCATGTTCATTTTCTGATGAAGGTACTGTGTACTGAAACATGCACCAGTATTCTATAAATAATGCATATAAAATAGTAAGTGTGCATCTACTTTATTACAAAAAAATTGACAGTGAAAACTAACTTCTAATTTATAAAACTGTTTAACTGATGACTACAAAGTAACTTTAATTCTGAACCAAAATTTGTATTTACTTCATCATATATAGTACTTAAGCTGTACTATACTAAAAAACCTATTACTGTTAAATAATTTCTCAACAGGAAAACAATAACACTTTAAAGAATTAAGTTGCTAAATATATTTTGGTAATATAGCAGCGGGTATATAATAGCACACCATGACCAAAACTATGTACAAAGATGAAATCACAGTCGCTTCTAAATTAAATTAGTCCAAAAAATTATATGTCGCCTTCCAATTTAATGCCGGCACCTTGTGTGTAAACGTTTTGTTCAGTTGTCTGCACAATACCATGCTTAGACTTCAAATGCGTTTTTAAAGAAACTCGTTGCCTAAACCCTTCAGCACATATTTCACATTTGAAAGGTTTCTCATTGGTGTGTTGCCTCACATGTGTACGTCTAGCATATGAACTGCTGAATCCTTTATTACAGAACTGGCAAACATAAGGTCTTAGTTTCATATGAGTCATTTGTATATGTCTATTAACGTCTCTTGCCGTATAAAACGCCTTTCCGCACACTTCACAAATGTGGGTTTTATCACCACCATGTGCCTTACGTATGTGTAATTGAAATTTATACTTATACCTATAAAATTTTCCACAATGTTTGCATTTATATTGTTCTGCTGTGCTTTTATGCATGTAAAACATGTGCCCTCTCAAACTTTCTGCATTCTTAGCCACAGCTCCACATAGCTCACAAACTTTCGGTGAAGATTTGTGTACTTCCAAATGTCTTCTATAATTACACGTTAGCACTTGTCGACCACATATTTTACAAACGCTGACAATATTATGTTTTTTCATATGCTGAAGGTAATACCTTTTAAAATTGAACTTAATGTTACATTCTGTACATTCAAAGGTGGTTTCTGGTTTCTGCATGGCAGCTGATTTCCGTTTTAATTCAATTTGTTTCTTAAAAGCTTCATTGATTTCTGGATTAATAGTTATTTCAACTTCTTCCACCGCTGAGTCTTCAACAACTGAATTTGACGCATTTTCATTTTTTAGTGGTTCAGGAGTTATTTGAATTTCATCCACTGACATCGCGTCACTCTCAAATTTAACGTAAGCTTGTTCAGTGTCGTCTTTTCCTTTCTGAAGAAGTTTTTCCCGTAAAATCCTGTCTGATTCAATTATACGACATCTAATCCTATACACAACGTAGATGTCTTCCAAACACTGTGCACAACAGATGGTTGGGAGATCATCATCTTCATCAATCTGTAATAGGTAAGCAAAATGCATCAAATGGTAAAGGCAAGTTTGACCTAACCTTTATTGATGTGAAACTCTCAATGATTTCCGTTACATCCTCGTCAAACAAGGAATAACAAAACTGAGAATCCTTTAAACATAGGCGACATTGGTACAGTGCAACTTCGGACATTTTGCACTCTGTTGGTCCTATTGACTGTTCTTTTCGCGTTCTTGCACATGCAATTCGTTTTGCAGCTTTCGAGAGGCCAAATCAACCAAACATTTTTGCCGTTTCTCATGTGAATATTACTTTAATACTTTCAAACTACTTCAAAATATTTATAAAATTACAAAACTATGATAAACAAATTTACTACAATTTCAACCCCTACAAAAGGTTTCGCGTTTTCTGTCAAGTCTGTCAGACAGTCAGACACTTTCTGTCAAAAAAGAAGTGTGTTTTGCAATCGATGACTTATGCAGTCCAACAATCATTTGTGTTCCAGAATGCCGCTTAAGGTGCGTACACAATCAACGTAATGGCTGTCCAACATAACGTAAACGTAAGTTACAAATATGTCGACAATCAACACAAAATAAATATGTATGAATTTTATTACAGTTTAAAAAAGTCATCTTAGTAATTTAGTTTGTATTAATTATGTAATGTTAGATAGAGTTATCAATTTGATTTATGTGAAGTTGTCTTGTAGAAACTTTGGCATGAGTAAACTCAAACACATAAACTTTACAACTGGATTAATAACAAGATTTATTGTACCATAATTACTTCCTCTAGTCATAGTTAAAAGCCGATTTGTAACATATTCATGGCATTCATTTGGAATTTAATGTTCGTATAAAATATTATATTTATATATGTACATATTTGTGTTTACCTTGACATTTTTATTTCAAATTTTATACTTCATTTGTTTTTAAGATGCAGGGCTAACTTAATTTTTTTTAAATAGTAGTCAAATATTCCGTTTTTAAATAGTGCATTCTTTCTGAATTCGGAAATGTAACGCATGCATTATTTTATTTTTTCCCAACATAACAATACTATCACCTGTCATAGTCCTGACCATCTGGCGTAGGACATTTTATTCGAAAGTTATACTATTATATGCCATCGTAACAGATACGAACCAAAAATTTCCACATCGTGTGCATTAACTTCCCGAGTTAATCTACCTATTGGAGAAAAAAATCCATAATTCGTACGATGCAGCTTCGTGTGAAAAGTTGGATTGCTTCTCATCTGTCTTGTTAGGCAGTTTAAATTAAAAAGTGCTAACAGTTCTGAACAGCTGATAAAACCATTAAATAATCTAAAAACATAAATAAGGTCAGTATATAATCTTCTGCTTTCGAGAGTGCTTAAATTTAATATGTCCCTTATATTCTGGTAAGTATATTCTTCTCTTGTGTACCCTAATTTCCATGCACAAGTGCGTAGAAACGAATTTTGAACCTTTTCCAAACTTTTGATATGGGTCATATACATAGGCGACCATACCACACTTGCACATTTTAAATGGGACCTTACAATGGAGCTATATACTATTTATGCGAATTGACGGAGAATAATTTCAATGATCTATTGATCAACCCAAGCATTCTCTGTAAGCCTTACTAACAATGTACTGTATATATGGAACAAACACAGTTTGGAGTCCATTATAATACCCAAATCACGAATTTCCGAAACTACCTTTACCGGTATCTGATTGATTTTATATGAAAAAACAATGCTATGTTTAGTCCTATAAAAAGAGATTTTATAATACTTGTCAAAATTTGTTTCCATATCGTTCCATATGCACCAATTTTCAACCTTTAGGAGATCACTCTGGAGAAGCGAACACTCCTATACCGAAGATATACTCGTAAATATTTTCAAGTCGTCTGCAAGTATAAGTATTCTCGAATATTTTACCGAATTGCCTATTTCATTTATAAAGAGATTAAATAAAAGAGGCCCACAATGGGACCCCTGAGGAACTCCGGATTTTACAATAACTGCCTTTGAGAGGAATTTTCCGATTTTTACTAGTTGAGAACGAGTTGTAATGAAGCTTTCTACCCACTTAACAAAGCTGTCATCAAAATTCATTGCATTGAGTTTATATATTAAAATTTTATGATTAACCCTATCAAACGCTTTTGAAAAATCTTCATAGACCGAATCAACTTGATTACCCCCCTTAAGACTGCTTACAATATAATTTTGGTAAATAAGTAGATTTGTTGAAGTTGATCTGCCTTGACAGAACCCATGTTGTTCATCGACGATTATTATCTGTTTACATACTACTTTTAACTTATCAGCAATTAATCGATCTAGAAGTTTTGGTAACACAGACTGATTGCAAATCCCTCTATAGTTTGTTATAAGCTCCTTGTCACAAGGTTTGTAAATTGGTACCAAAAATAACTCGTTTTCCAAAAATCAGGAAATTTACCAGAGGAAATGGATAAGTTGAATAAATATTGAATGGGCTTAGATAGGCCAAGCACACACGGTATCAAAAATTGTGTTGGAATCCCATCCGGACCAGCACTATCTGAAGGTTTCAATGCTAAGATTCCATTAAATACTTCTCCCATAGTTACTAGACTGAAATTAAAATTTGTTTTACCAGATATCTGTACTTTGTTCAAGTCAATATTTTTGGATGGATTTCTGTAAACTGTTTGAAAATAACGTGCAAATAAATTGACAACTTCATTTGGTTCGCAAGACGACGTTTCATTATATTTCATCGTATTGGGATTGTTTTTATTTCTCCAATCTGTTAGAATATTAGGAGGAATATGAGCAATCAGATTATTTCTTGAAGTTCTTCGATGCTTTTTGGTCTATTGACATAAACTCGATTTTTTACATAACCCCACAGAGAAAAGTCAATTGGAGTTAAATCGGATGACCTAGCTGGCTACTCAAGTGCTCCCCTTTGTCCTAAGGACCTTCCAGGAAAAGTTCCATTCAAGTAATGCCGTACTATTCGTCCGAAGTGAGGTGGTGCTCCATCTTGTTGGAACCAGATGGACTGTGCAGATAAATTTGAGTTTTCATAGCTAGGAAATATTTGTCTAAATCGAGGAATAATACTTTGTTGCTAAAGTTGTAGGTATGTATTGTGAAACGTTAAATTTCCATTCAAGAAGAATGCCTATGAATAGCTAACAATTTAACATTATTAAGACAAACTGACTTGGAAGAAAAAAACGTCACCTTTGACTAGAAACCGTGGGTTCTATGAAATCTTGTGCTTTAATCTCAATTATTAAAAATTCAACTTTACAAATTCCATCGTTGTGGACTGAAAGTACACCTCATATAACATACAAACAAATCACATATGAAATAAACACAACAGATACATATTCAATACAATCAAAATCAAGACACCAAATGTTCAAATTCAAGCTGCTAGAAATTATTAAACTTGTAAGAAAATATTAAAGCGTTCCCATTTTTGAGTCCACGATGGTATTATTTATTTTAACTGATGACAGATTTCAAGATCCTTTCTCTCATATTGGGTCGATGTTTAAGTTTAGTTTGAAAGCCATAAATGAACTCAGTGGTGTAACAATCAAACTGCGGGCCTGTGTTCTACAACACTGTGGGGCCCCTAATGAACAGCGAAATAAAAATATTTAAAAATACGAGTATAATGAGTAAAGAATGAGTAGATTGCAATTAGCGCTAACGTTTTATTAAAATCATTCTACCTGAAACATTGAATTAAAAAAATAAAATACAATAATTACCTGAAGACATATAATTAAAATATATACAATATTAGAAACTAGCCGACCCGCCAAACGTTGCTTTGGCATTTCTAGTGAATATTTTGGTACATAGTTAAATAAAAAATTAAATTAAAATAAATACATAAAAATTTATCGTACGACAATGATTATATTCAATGGCCATCTTGCAACCCTATTGCGCATCTGTGGATGAAAGCAAAGATACTCATATCGTTATTAAAAAATGGGGGTTGGTGGTAGAAGGGTCAAAATTTAGGGTTATATGTATTTTTTGATGCCAAATCTTAAAAAAATAAAAATAAAAAATGTCTAAAAAATAAAAAAAGTTTGGTGGGTCACCCTTATCACTTAGGGGTTTAAAAAATAGTTTACTAGACCTACCGAATATACACAAAAAATTTCATAAAAATCGGTCAAGGCGTTTCGGAGGAGATTGTTTACAAACACTGTGACACCAGAATTTTATATTAGATTATTTTAGAAAAAAATTCATTACCATAAAAAAGGTTATACTGAGTCGACCTTAAAAGATTGACGTATGCTGTCGCGGACTTTTTTTTAGAACTTTTAGAAGGGAACAATTCCATCATACATTATTTTTATGTAACTTTAACCGTTTAATAAGCAGCGTAAGCAACGGAAGCTGTCAAAGGACGAATAATTTTCCCGTTTTTCCGATATTTTTCATTGCTGCTCCGCTCCTATTAATCATAGGGTGATGTTATATAGCCTATAACCTTCCTCGATAAACGGACTTTCCAACACAAAAAGATTTTTTGAATTCAAACCAGTAGTTTCTGAGATTGGCGTTTCAACCAAACAAACTCTTCAACTTTATAATATAAGTAAGTATAGAAGTATAGATAAAATGCCAATTTTTTTTTATCTCAAAATTGTTTTCTTCTTGTTTTTCAATGGGCACAAGTTGATACAAGATTTGACACATCTAAGCTTCTAGCAATTTGATTTCCATTTGAGAGATTCAATGAAGATAATCTGCATTGGCTCATTGTTTCTTAAAAAATTTTTAGTCATTTTTAATTTCGAAAAAGATCTTTCCGCTGAAACCACCGAAAGAGGTATTGTAAGAAAAGTGAAACATGCTGTGATAATTTCAGTGACACTAGTACAGGTAGGTCATTCTGTAATAATTTCCCAGTCCAGTTTTTTTTTTTACTTAAAAAATTAGTTGCAACATACGTCAGATATATTTTATTATTCCAAAAAAGCACCACAAGTACAAAATTAAAATAGTTTTGAACTGAAACTGATTTTTTTTTCACGTTTTACTACAGCATGAAGTTTCACTGTAGAACTAAGGACAAAATTTAAGTATTTTGTTGCCTTGCATCATAAATTAGTCATACTTTTGTCGGATAAAGATTGGTAATTTACAACATGGGGTGTTAGATTTGCTACAATGGGATTGCGACACTGCGACAGGTTTATTACAAACAGATGCTGCTGCATTTTCGATCGCCGCTGCCGGTCGCTAAAACCCGAGTTTATTGAGTCTATGATATTGAGATGCCGCCCTTTGCAGCAAAAAATTCGTAAATAGCAATGAACGATCGATCCTGGGATTACAGCACATTTTCGAATTTTTTATTTCAGGATGTAATTTGGGCAATAATATAAAAAAAAAATCTAATAAAAAAATGTTCGTGTGACCGCACCGGGCCCCTTGAAGCAGCGGGCCCGTGTTCCGCCGAACACGTGGAACACCGGTAGTTACGCCACTGAATGAACTATTTTAAGTCTCGAGTGAGGATTATGAAATTTGGATAACGTAATAACTTAAGTAAAACATCCAGAATTTTAGATATATCGTTATTAAAAAATAAGTTGCGCCTGAATAAGTGAATTTCTTGAAATGTATTGTCTTCTATGGGAACATTTCCACTATAGTAGTTAAATTATATTACCACCACGAATAGTTAACCATCTTGAATTTGTGAATTTACAAACAAGAAAACAAAATTAACCAAGTTTCACCACATTTCTGATCGCCAACTAACTGGTCTTACAGTAATTACACTTTTTGAGGTGGGACATTGGTGTCGAATGCGATTCATTTTTGTTCAAACTATTGCCCTTTGGTGAAATTGCAAACTAAATTAAAATGCTTGTTTTTACTGCACTCACAAAACAAGAAGTCAAGCGCCAAAAACACAACGTGGGTAACTTTTTAGGATTCAGCTGAAGAGTGATTTTTTCTCGATTTCCTTAAACGCACTAAAGCATGGGTGGTTGCCTACGTTAGTTGAGTGCTTGGGTTTTATTTCTCAGCGCGAAATTTAATTTTTAAAATCGGGGCACCACAGCGTTATATCTTTTTTTCACTAGCAGCCATGACGCATGCAAATGTCGACTCATTTAGAGGTAACAAATTCAACTTTTGCGACCACCGGTTCAAAAAGAAAAATTGAGGTTATGTACGCAATGTTTGATGTGATTATTTCTTAAAAAATGAACAAATGTGTGCTACAAACATTACTTGAGTATACGCATGGTAGTTGGTAGACGGTAGAAGATAAAATGAACTCAGCGAGAAGTATGAACGGTTTTCTTTGTGTTGAAGATTTAGATTAAGTTTGATTAGAAATCAAAACAAAATCATGTTGCGTCAAAAAATTGAACGTTTATTTTTTCAGTTTATTGTCTTATGGGGTCTACTAGTGAAAAAAATAGTATATTAACCACGGTTGCAAAGCCACTTCTAGACCTCGCGCTTCAGAGCCCTCGACGCTGCGCGTCTCGGGTTCTAATTTGCGCTCGGTCTAGAATGCTTGGCTCTGCAACCTTGGCTAATAATATACTATTATTTACTCTTCATTTTATTTTTTTTGCCAAGACCTTAGTTAATGTGTTTTTAACACTGTACTTTAGAACCAGAAACCTTAATCCTAAAAACTTTTTTGATCTTGGGGCGCATATAAAATTTTTTGTCTTGTTTTTTTTTTAACTTTGTTTGAGCTCCTGAATATTCAATGCTATGCGATAGCACACAATATCTATTCAACATTCAACATAAATGAAAATAAACCGAAGGCATATTTGATACCATCATACCTTATATGTGAATGTATGTTGTATTAAACAGCTTGGTAAATGAGGAAAAATGTACGGTCGAAGCGGGATTTGAACCCACGTTTTCCGCTTGCCGAGCGGCTATTCTACCAAGGGAACTATCCGGCGTCTCTTATTGTGCCGCCGCCACAATAGGTAATTAATAATAAACTTATTAAAGTAAATCATACTATAAAATTATTATTGTTGATGCGAATTAAATAAACCAATGAACGACTTTGTTCATTTGTTCCTTCTAACGACCCGTTCAATTAATTCGTTCATGAATCCAATTCAATTCATGTGATTTCTATAGATTTAGCAATATACGAGTATACTGATATTGTTACTGTCATTTGTGTTTTTTAGCCAGTCCTCCCACTAATGTTACTTCATAAAGTAAAGTCAACTATGTTGAACTACGTAAGTAACCACGGTGTTATTTCGCTGTGTATGTTTCCGGTTACGTGGAATGTGTACGGGGCTTCAGTCGTGATTGTATTTTGCTGTTATTATTTTGTCAGAAATAATTCACCTTGCTTTGTTCTTTAATAACAATAATTTAGTGAAAACCCTATTTAAATTTAAAACGTAAAATCCCAAAAAAATCCATATTTTTTTAATATTACTTCAACTGATCTGGTGGTTGCATAATAGACGGGAACCTCCATGTGCATTTTCTCCTGATGAGTCATTTGACAGTTGTCGTTTTTTGTAATTTGTTCTCAAACTGGTTAAACATAACCTTGTTGTGGTTTTTGATGTGTTATTTTAAAGAGAATGTCTGTGCCAAACATGTCTAATAATCTGATTCAGCCACAGAATATCGTAATTAACCAAGTTCCAATACCTCACGCAATCATGACCAACGTTAACGCAAACAATGGGATTCCTCTGACTGCGTTAACGCACGCCCCATCAACAGTCGATCAGTCAAACGACATCAAAACGGGCATAGTTGTAGAAACAATTCCAATGGCAGGGGCTAATCTCGTTGGAGTACAAACAGTTCCTACGCCTGTAAAATCGATGCAGTCCAGCTCGGCTCTTAGTGAACAAGCCCAAATCCTGACTAAACAGAGGCTGCAAGATTTAGTTCGAGATACGGATGCTACGCTCAATCTTGAAGACGAAGTTGAAGAAATCATCTTAAATTATGTAGACGAGTTCGTTGATCGTTGTTTAAATGGAGCTGCTTTGATCGCGAAGAATCGACATGTGAATACCATAGAAGTGAAGGATGTGCAACAATTCCTTAACAGGAACTACAACATGTGGACCCCTGGCTTTGGCACGGATGAATTGAGACCATACAAGAGAAGTTTGACGACGGAAGCACATAAACAACGACTAGCGCTTATCAGAAAGACATTGAAAAAGTATTAGGAGTAAGGGTTTTGTTAATACAAAGTACAACTATGTATTTATTGCTATATTTAAAATAATATAGGTATAATATAAATATATTTTCAAGTAGCAAAATACAGCCATCAAAAGTACCAGTTTCGTAATTCAACACCCAGTTATGTGACTCAAGAATGATGCTACTGTTGATTGAAGATGAAAATGCAAATAAATATAGAAGTAAGCTTAAATTCTGAAACCATGATTATTCATATTGTTCCCAAAAACCTTTGCTGCTACAAAATTATTCTTGGTTTTAACCTTATACCAGTAAATATGATGAAAAATGACACAAGTTGCGTAACAATTTTGTACACCATTGTTACGTACATAATATTTAATATACATTACTGAAAACATGGTTGACGTATGCAGCTTTACATTTAAACAATTGAAATATTTACATTTTTTATGATATTATCAACACTGGACCAATATCCTCAACATATTTAAAAAGCAAATCACAGTCAACATAGAACATTGATAACAAAAGTGTAAGTATTTCCTTGATTTGTAAATTCTACATTTATTATTTTCTACTGAAGTAGTAAAATTTAAAGGACAATATTTACTAGAACATCAAAGGTCAATTCGCAAAATTAGAAGTGCAACATGTTTATTATTATCATGTCTTAATTGTATACCTAATGTTAGGTACAGATTTAACACCTCATGTTCAGTGTTTACTACCATCAAAATAAAAGAGAGGAATCTGTGACAAAAGTGAATAAACATTTTAATGAAGATAATTTTCTTACGACAATAATACTTGGATGTGCACTGAAAGACCGTGTCAGTGAGAAATTGTCAGAAAAATATAGTGCACAAACCGCATGAAATACTTATTTTTTACTGGTGATGAAAATGTGTGGAAGTGTTCATTGTATTTGTGTTCAAATGCACGACGTATGCAAAAATACACAATGTACAATTCACATTCAATTTCTCACATTTATTAATCGTACCAAATGCGTAAGGTTTATGTCTTTATACTAAGAAATGACGTATACTATAATAGTTTATATCAACATTTCGTTTGTTTTAAATTATCACTGTACAGTTTTTAATAACTTGACTAACTAGTGATGTCTTACCGCCTAACACGCATTTGTTTTTTAATTATGTGTAAGATTTTTACTACGTTTAATGCATTTTTTTAATATCTATATCCGAAACGTAACTTTTAACATCAAGTGATTTACGAAATGAACGTTTAACTAAAACAAAATTCTTACATTTTTATTGATTCTTTATACAAATACAAATGTACGTTGTTTTTTTTAATTTTGGATTTTCACCGTGTTTATCTTTATGAAATAAAAATATTGGTTTACATATTCTAGTTAATTTAAACTTTTTGTTTTGTATCATATAAAACTACACATGAAATTCTTTGGGAAAATCAACATATACTGGAAGCGTGTATTACATCAAATAGTGATAGGTACTACATTGTCATCTTGTAAAGTGAAAACTTACTACAAAGTGTATTATACAGGCTCTATACAGTTTCCAGTCTTATTGCCTACTAAATTTAAATTCGTTTACTTCACTTTTTAACAGTTTCCTCTTTATTAAAAAAAAAAACGAAGTTCTTTATACTGTATGACGCACAATGACCTTTGATATATACATAATTTTATATTGTTGACAAACTTGTAAATAACTATAGATATTTCCACAACATAAAAAGATTTCTTTTTTGAAAAATCAACAACTGACTTAGGATCCTGGTCACATTCAGGATGTGTTTCAACTACAACTACCAATATCACTATAACATTATTACATAATTATATATGTGCATGAGTTAAAATACCATTTATTACCCCCAATCAGCCAAACGCAATAAATCTGGATATTCCGTTATTGTTTTCCGAGTTTGTGTTTGCACAGATTTGGATCAGGATAAGCTTCTCTTGGAGGGATGAAGCTCAACATCATAATGTGTCTGGCATATGCGCGAGTTGACCGGAAGTTGGTGTCAGTACCATGAAGACGATCTAGCACACCCAAGACACCGAAACAGTTATTAAATCTAAAAAAAAAAATAATTCTTGACCATTGTTCTTTCATCATTGTTGTGCCAACTTACTTCAAGTGATGGAAATCATGGGCTTCTGGTGACGGGAAGAACGGAAGATGGTATCCTGAGTGCGCATTTAACGTTGACAGAAGAGCAAGAGCAAACCAAAGATACGCAGTGGCCACATGGGAACCCATAATGAACACTCCTAAAAATGGTGGAAGCAAATTGGAAAACAAGTGTTCAATGGGATGGCAATAAATGGCAGTAACAGCAATGGGAGCGGTCCATTCGTGGTGTTGCTTGTGAATGATCTTGTAGAGGTGACGGTTATGAAGTAATCTGTGAAAATATACATAAAATCAATATTTCTTGTGTGTAAAACGAATACAGTACCTGTGTGAATAATAGAATGCAGCCTCTTCGACGAGGATATGTACAGCTAACTCATACAACACCCAATGGAAAGTCGGCAGTTCGCGAATCGGTGGAAAGCCCCTCCAAGACATAGCCCAATATAAGAAGAATGCTGCTGGGAAGCCTACGATGACTTGGTTGAAAAACACGCACCATATAACCTAACAAAAATTAAAATTAGGCTGCGTTAGTTTGCAAAATCGCAGTGGTTCTCTTACATTCATAAGTTTTTTCGAATCCACTGGTTCGTTAGTTCCTGGTTGGATTTTATAGCGGCGCAACGCTGCGGGTTTATTGGTGATGTCAAGAATCGTGTAAATTCCTCCAAAGAGCCAATATACTCCCAATGTTAGGATGGTGGAACCATAAACCCACAAGTTAAAGGAATCTTCACCAATGATGTCTAAGAACTTGTCCCACTGCGCTTGCCAGAAGTCACCAGAAGCTCCCCAAAATCTCTGACAGTGCCTTTAAAATACATTGTCAGAGTTTCTGTTTTTATTGAGAATTACCAATGAGACAAAGGCATTATTACGCATGGGTATGTAATCACCATGTGGTAATGATGCATTAGTCCACATGCACCGGGAAGTTTTATCTGATTTTAAATTTAAATAAACAACAGATTTTTCCTCTAACTCCATCAATACGATAACACACGATAATGTAATTTGTTATTTGACTGAAATTAGTGATTTCACAACACGACATTGAAGTTTAAAACGTATTCCTCTGTTAAATGCGTCAATTGAAACTTAAATTAGCTACAGCTGTATTTAGGCATCAAGTAATAATAGGAGAGATTAAAAATCTGGAACGTTCTTCGTTTCTAAAGCACAACAAATACCCCACGCATCTCAGTATGTTTTTCGATAAAAATTTCACTTTTTTGGCGTCATCAATTTTTCCCAAGATAAATATGTAATAAAATTCAAAACAATTAATCTTACACATATTTATAAATACAGTTACAATTGAAAAAATATTAAGTTCAAGGAGTGCCATAGCTGGAAGAATATTTGTCAATAAAATATATTTATAGTTCATTCAGATGACGTAATCAGCTTTTTAATGGGGACAAATATTAGTGTATTTTGATCTAAAAAAATAGAGGAACGCAAAAAATTAAAGCAATTTAGTGAAGCATACGCAGTATCGGTTGATGACGTCATTAACTTCTGGATATGATGAATAAATACATTTTAGTTACTGTTCAATTATTGTGACGACTCTAAAATCTTTTGTTTTACATAATTGTACATTCCAAATTAAACAAGCGTTGGATTATTAAAAAAAAAATAAAGAGCATGTCACCTGTCCATTTTTAATAAAATTTACAGAACAAAAGTTAACACATGAAGTCACCAGTTCTTTTCGGGAAAAGCAGACCGCCAAATTTAATAGCGTTTTATCAATCTTAACACTAATCTTAAAATTTCAGACTAATCAGTTTGGCGCTTTGGAGATAATCCACGTCAAAAAAATGAATGAACAGTCTGAATTTTCTATTCTATGAGCCTACAATATTTCTCGGCTATTGCTAGGGTAGTAACAATATCTCGTTAAGTGTATTATAATACCATTCACACACCAACTTAAAATTATATTGTTAAAATCAAATCTAGCATGTAGAGTTAACTATAAAAGATCTCTGGTGAGATCTGCTACTACATTAAGAAAAAAGAAAAGAAGTAGGTAAGCACCTACAGGCAATTGCACTGTTGTCATATCGCATGGCTAGAGCAAAATCCGAATCGTAATAATCACAGAAAAAGTATACTCTACAACTCGTGCGTAGTCTTTCTGCCTACAGTGACTTCTGTTTGTACTCATCTGGATGAACAGCTTGCACATTTTGAAATATCAGATTGTATAAAATATTTTGGATCTTTTTTTCATATTGGCGGTGACTACAATCGAAGATAATATAATCCCATTGTTTGTGACACACACACACCTCGTTCTCAACGAGAACAAAATTGGTTGTATAACTTATTGCTACTCAAATATTATAAGCCATTTATTTCAAAGAGAACACTAGAACTAAAAACAGGACTTCAGCGGTAAGGAGTTATTTTTTTTCTTGTATTTATTGGCTTCGCCAGATGGAAGTTTGACTGTATTTTTTACAACTATTAAGAAATATACTTATATGCCAATTACTGACGATAATTATTTCATATAGAATGTGTAAAGAGTTTTTATTTTGTGGTTGCATAATACAGTCAAATTATTATAAAAAAAAATCGGGGTATGATTCATAAAGTAATAACTATATTCCTCTAAATGTAATTTTAATGTTTTAAATTCTGCCTGTGGAGAACGGAGCTTTATTTAGCTAATAAAGTTGGCTTAAATATAAAAATACCTTTGAAAAATTCAAACACCAACAAGCACTCAAACCCAATTATTAAAAAATTAAATTTGTAAAACAGGTGAGACTTTTTGCCTTAATTTAAGACCACAATCTAGTATTGTAATAACTAATTGACAGTAGGTCATACATAGCAGCAATTCATAAATGCTTTGTTGTCGTTTTAATGTTAAATGCCTAAAAATAGGGACACATTTTTCAATCAGCGAAGAGGAACACGTTGAAAATATTTCTAATTGTAGATACAATCCAAATTACCGCACTGAATAAATTAGATAAAAAATTCGAAAGTAAAACTGGATGAAAATAGTCAGACAGGTTCAATAATTGAAAACAAACAAACAAATTACATTAATTGAATATTTATCAAGATAAGGAGAGATAGATTAATGACTAAACTCGCACCGTTTTTATATTACCTATCTACTATTTCGTCACCGCTGGACTAAAACCTTAAGAAAAATCGATGTTTTCTAGGTAAAAAAGAACTAAAAGCCTTAATCCCAAAATTACCAAGTAATCGAATTTCTTGCTGCTGCGAAACAAATCAGTGCTGAGCTAATCACGATTAAGACGCTTCGTAAAGATGACCATATTGAGGGGTTCTGACTGGCACTGTTCTGGATCGTTCCAGGGCCGGACTTCCGCGTAGGAGTAAGTTCAGGTCCAGAAGAAGAAGATTCGTCTTCGTAGTCCCCCAACATTTTCAATTCTAGAAAAAATTTAAGAATAATTAGAAACGTCAAACCGACGTCAACACCGGGTCAGTAACTCAGTTATGAAAACAAGTGATAAATAATAATTAAGTAATAATCTTATTGTGTATTGATTTTGCACAGTCATTTAAAATGCAAATTCTTGAAGGTCTGTTTAGTACTTTACACCTGATTTTGCGAAGAGTGTAAGTAAAACACGTAGTTTTCTGTAATAACAAGCAAGGTGCGAAACTCAAATGGAATAATGTGAATTTTTCTATTTCAGAATAACAATAAACACAACACGGATAAAGTGGTTTTACTATTCAAAAAACATGAAGCGCGACGTACGTTTAGCCTTCCATTGTTTCCTTTTTCTGTTTCGTTTTTGATTTTTCGTGTACATGCTGAGGATCAAGTTTACACAACACAAACACTATGCACTGTCGTAACAAAGGACGATAATAAACAGTAATAATACGGAACTCCGTTATATATACATGTTTCTGCGAAGATAAGAAAATATCGAATATGAAATCGAAATGATAGTTTCCACTTATAATGATCTTATTAAATGGTTAGGTAGAGACCGGTTTTTTACTGTTTCGCTTCACGGAGAATGGTCAAGTTTTGCACCGTTACTACTAGGTTGGATACATGTGTGAATAATAAACAGTAAACGCAATTGTTACCTATTAAAAGGAGTGACTAGTTGATGACAAAATTGGATCTCCACCGCAGTGGCGGAGGTGTAGCGAAAACTGTATCTAAAGTTAAATTGATAGTAAATACTGGCGATCGATTCATTGTAAATGCAAGGCGGATTTAATTTTTTAATTTCAGTTTAACGAGCAAAATGTTCAAACCGTCACATGCGGTCGGTAAACTTTCTGATATTTTTTAAAATAAACAAATGTAAAATTTTATTCAAAACAACGCATCTCACACGATGACATTTTGCTACACTTCTGACATGAATTGACAAAACGTGCACCTTCAAACGATGGCTAGCATGCAATTACATTCCACTCTAAATGAACGTGACTGAAATAACTCTATGGAACACAGGTTTTTTGTCCAATGGCAGTCAATCAATCAACCGCGGTTACGAGCATTGTGAAAATAAGAATCCGCAAACCATATTATTTACTAGAACATTTTGTTACACAAGTTGATACGAGTTTCCACTTTTCCAAAAAATTTAAAAACGGGTAACTTTAAAAAACAGAAGTTTCTGGAGAAACCGAAAGTATTTCAATCAATTTTCTTGAACAGACTTTCTCTGTGGACAAGACTCCGCGTTTAATTGTACAGTTGAGATAAAACATCCTGTATACAGGGTGTCCCAGAATTCGCGCCATTCCCGTGAATGACATGTTCCCTGTCCCGAACTGTGCCGTAATTCGCAAAAAGAATTGTCCAGGATTTAACCGTGTGAGAACTGGAAGGCGATTAAGTTGACCAATAGAGAGGCTGCTTTTATCTCCGAACGTTTCTATGTTCAAAGTTACCTATGCCAAGAACAAAAAATCGGGTAATACTAAAGTTGAATGAATTTTTTTCCGAATCCCCCTCCGTCAACAAAAGGAAACAGAAATGTGGTTATAAATTTAATCATTTTGACAATTGTTTGTCATAAACTGTCACGAAGTTTATCACTGACCTGAAGAGACGCTTCTGCGCCAAAGATGACTGATTAATGTACACAGAGACATCAAGGTTTACTTTAAGGCAAGTAGCATGGGACAGAAGTTATTTCTGCTGCCATTCTAGTTAAATTGTGTTTAACTGGACTATACATGTCATAAGAGAATCTGTTTCATTTCATCGTAGGCAAATAATACATTTATTACTATTCTACATAGAGTAGCTACCGAAGAGCAGGTATTAGAAGTCATTTTCTTAGAGCCCCGTGAATAATCGTCGGCACCTAGACCAACATGTGTTTCACCGATTGTTACATCGAGCAAGAGAAGATGGATCTTTTCAACCTAGTCGGAAAGGCCGTGCTGGGGCTCTACGGAATGTACGTGTAGGTGCTGAAGAGCAAGTGTTAGAAAACATGGAAGCGGATCCTAGGAGAAGTGTCCTCTACGTAGCGCAAATGAGTGGATGCTCAAGATCGACCACTCATCGTATTCTTCAAGAGAGAAGACTGCATCCTTACCATTACACGAGAGTGCAGCATCTGCGACCAACCGACTACCCGCGACGAGTACATTTTGCTCAATGGTTACTGCGACAAAATGAACTAAACCCTGATTTTACACTGCGCATTCTTTTCACCGACGAATGTTCATTTTCCCGAGAAGGAATGTTTAATGCACACAATTGGCATTTCTGGGCACACGCAAATCCACATCTCACTAGGGTGAGAGCATATCAGGAGCGATTTACTATTAATCTATGGGCTGGAATATATCAATGGTACTACTGTGGTAAAAATTTTAATGCATCTGATAAAATTATCACTAAACTCCGTTCCTGTTTTTTTAAGTGGGGCCGTTTGTGTTACCTGATCGCCTTACATTCTCCATAAATTAACATCATTTCCAAATATTCTTTATACTAGTATGAATAAGACATCAATAACTTAGTGGTATTGGTACTGATTTGTTTATAGTTTGTATTGTTCTTAACAAAAATTGCAACTAAACGATTTTTGTTATAATTTTTATTCGTATCTTTTCAATCTCTAGAAAGTACTCACAACTTTAAAGAAACTGTTTTGAATCATCATGTGCAACATCAATATTATTCTTGAATAAGTCTCAGTTTTCAGTATCTCCCCCACATGATTGACACCACAGCACATACCTATGATCTTAATACACCAGAGAAGTGGAATCTCGTCTCTTTTTTCGTTGCTTAGATTAGGTATCAGCAACAAAGCTGTTCAGTAAAAATTGATACTGTTTATTGAAAATCATAAGCACCGATTAATCAAAAGCGATATTTATGTTTTAGTACACTTAATAACGTTCTTTGAATGGACATGTGGTACTCTTTTTTAGAAATAACGATAAACTTAATATCAGGCATATGATGCATAGTGAATTCTGAAAATGTACTAATTTTCGTTAAAAAGAACAACACATTATTCACGGGGCTCTAAGAAAATTACTTCTAATACCTGCTCTTCGGTATCTACACTATGTAGAATAGTAACAAATGTATTACTTGCCTACGATGAAATGAAACAGCTTCTCTTATGACATGTACAGCCCAGTTAAACACAATTTAACTAGAATGGCAGCAGAAATAACTTCTGTCCCATGCTACTTGCCTTAAAGTAAACCTTGACGTCTCTGTGTATATTAATCAGTCATCTTTGGCGCAGAAGCATCTCTTCAGGTCAGTGATGAACTTCGTGACAGTTTATGACAAACAATTGTCAAAATGATTAAATTTATAACCACACTTCTGTTTCCTTTTGTTGACGGAGGGGGATTCGGAAAAAATTCATTCAACTTTAGTATTACCCGATTTTTTGTTCTTGGCATAGGTAACTTTGAACATAGAAACGTTCGGATATAAAAGCAGCCTCTCTATTGGTCAACTTAATCGCCTTCCAGTTCTCACACGGTTAAAGCCTGGACAATTCTTTTTGCGAATTACGGCACAGTTCGGGACAGGGAACATGTCATTCACGGGAATGGCGCGAATTCTGGGACACCCTGTATATCTAATTATTACATTTTACAATAAACATAGTTCACGAAATGGAAGCGTTTCGGCTAAGTTCTGTATTATTACCAGTGACATGACAATAGCAATAATGATTTTAAATAACTGGTCACGTTACATTGATTTAGAAAGTTCCTGGTAGTTAAGGGGTGCCTGCAACAAACATGTCTAAGTAACATAAAATTAGGACTGCAAAAAACACAAGGTGTAGACACATGTACTTTACAGTTTGTAATTTTTTTGTGGTAGAAATGTATATTATTATGTATTAAATGTTTTCATTGCTAATTTTCAACGACCAATTTAAACCCTTTTAGGCATATTTCAACTATGATGCTCTAGATCTTAAATTCATCTCTGCTCCACTTAAACTTTAAACTAAAAATGTGTTCCTGTATATAAAACGTATCATTGGTTGTACATATGAACATACCATTGTTGTAATAATGATTAGATAATAAAAAATTGTAATGTCGATAATTTTTCAGCGCACAAATATCGACAAAAACAAAAAGAAATTTAGTACTAGTGGTACGACTTTTATTTTTTGTTTTTTTGCACTCTAAGCATAAAAACGTTTATCAAGTTTTTAAAGAATGATTGTTGCTAAAAGTTATCATGACCTTTGGTGTTTTAAAGTTAAGTGATAACATTCTCGAGTGTTGTAATTGTTTTCTCATGCTTATTACATTTTTTAAATAATCAGGTAATGGAAATTATTGGTTTTCATGTGAACGTATGCTTATTTAAATCAAGGGTCAACCGACTTATAAAAATATAATTCTAGCCCTAAACCATATAACGTTGCCACAACATCAAAAAACAAAACTTCGAAGCACCACGTGCCTTTTGCGAATACACAAAAAAAATCGTTTGCCTTGTAACCGTGATATTCGACCGATAAGCGTAATTAAACCTAATAAGATCCTGTAACTACCGGACACCACGTGTAGCTTACTTAATTAAAAATTCAAATTGTCTATTTTCAAAGTAAAATTTTACCTACGATAGTACTACTACTGATAGTACTTTTGATTAATGTAGAACGGATACAGGCTGTTTTAAAAACAACTGAAATCGGGTTGTCTACAAATAAAGCAGGAATGATTCACTCAAGTAAACAGAATAAACAGCATTTTGTGTTTATTTATATAAAAAAACTAGCATTAAACAACACTGAGTTGACAATGTTTTCGTAAATTAGGTATAATTAATGGCATACGTTATTGTAGACTGTAAAAAATTTGTACTGCAATTATTGATTCAAAATAAACTAATTAAAAAGTCTAAAAACACCCAGTCCAACTTTGATTTATGATGTCTAATATGTTTTATGGGTACTATTGTCTTTTTTAAGGCATTGAAGGAATTGGCATGCAAAGTGTGTTACTAATTTTACACAAAAGTAGAAAACTGAAAGAAAAGATTTTTTTTCATCAAATAGTTACATGCAATGTATATCTTGTGTGTGTACAAGAAAATCGAAAAATCACATGTAGAACAATGATAGGGGCACTAAAATGTAGGGCCTTTTATACAGTGCGATTGTGTTAGATTATTATCACTTTATTCAAAAGTAAAGCAATCATTTACGCGGGAATCCAAAGTTCGCTGCTAATATTACAACCTTCTAATTAGTTTGAATTATTAAGTAAGTTACTGACCTTGATAATATTAAAATATCAAAAAAGATGTTGACGTTTGTATGTCGCTATCGCAAAAAAAACCATTCTTTTTTAAACTAAGATATTACTACATGACTTTTAATTTTTAGTTACAGTCGAAAATAATCAACTTTTTTATAAGAAGCTCGGATAATTTTCCACTAAACTTATTTCATTGTTTATAACAAAAATATGGGTCTTCTTATTTGGAAGGAAGCGGGGGTTTTCCCAAAATTAATGCGAATATAAAAAACAGTTTGCACAGAACACCAACAATTATTAAAAATATTGAAATTGTACTATCTCAAACA